AACCAAAATCGTTATTTACAGGTTATTTAAAATTAATTAACATTTTAAGACCAGACTGAAGGGTCATTTTAGAAAAGTTGTCTAGTAGTTGGTTTAGTATTTGTCATTTCCAGTCGCTCTAATTCCACTGTCTTGTCCACAATGGCTGCCAAATTCTTTGTACTTATTTACGCCAGTTATTATTTATGGCTTTCGTATCGACTACCCACATAACTTGCCAAAAAGTGCACTATTAGTTTGGCTCTAGTTATTTCATATTTATTGTAGTTTAGTTTCGTTGGGACGCGGGGTGCCAACGGGATGTTTTGTTGCTCTTGTAGCTTATGATTTTATTTGTAACGATTTTATTTTTGTATCGTTCTAGCCATATTTTGAAAATGTGTATTAATTATTATTTTATTTATTTATTTAAAATTGACATAAACAGGAGTGCAAAAGAACAAGTTAATAGTATATTACGGCATTCTCCTAAACTTTTGGCTCAAGCAGAAGTTAAGAGTAAGTTTTCTTTATAAAAATTAGGAAAACGTATCGTGTAGAGTCTTAGCGAGATTAAATCTTTGTATAAAAAGGTGTTTTCCAAAGTTACAAGATTTGTTTAAGTAAATATCTGTTTGTCCCCAAAAGAACTACTTAAAAAGCGTTGTGCAACAGTATGTTTAAGATTGTTTCTTGATACGTCAAGTATTATAGTAGACATTTTGATCAAAACACACGCTCTAATTCTGATTTCGCCTCAACGTCCAAGTACATAGACGATACTTTATGCATAATAAGTGATGTGGGTGCTCCTCAACTGAAGGGCCCGAATCACGGGAAAGATTAAACATTCTCACTCGCACTATTAATCAGATCGCCGATTGCACTGACTAAACAGGGTAGTGAAGTGTAGATGTTAGAGAAAACGTTAAAGTATCGATACTTTTCGATTCGCAGAGCTGCCGCTGGGGCAGAAAAGTTTCGAGTGGCGACCACGAGCCGGAAGAGGTAGTGTAGGCAGACCTCCCACTAGGTGGACCGACGATCTGGTGAAGATCGCGGGAGGAGACGCAGGACCGATCTTTGTGGAAATCCTTGGGGGAGGCCTTTGTCCAGCAGTGGACGTTATTCGGCTGAAACATGCGAACTTTTCGATACAAAGATAGGATTACGTATGTTGGTTTAAAAAGTAACTCAGTGGCCGACGAAACATAAATATTAAATACTGTGAATGGAATAACATTGAAAGAACCATATAAGAATGGGTAAGTACGAGTAAGTCTAATAAATATTGCATAGAGTTCTTATATTTTATGAATATTTCATCAATGAGTTGTCAATTTCTGGCAGTCGTAAAGGGCGACAAAGGTACAAGTATACGAAATACAATCCTTCAGCTAGCCTATTTGGCTAAAGTAGAGAATTCAAATACCCCATTTTCCACTGGTAAATTAGTCTTGACTAGACTCTTAACCACCTGATAATGATTTCGCAATTCTGACTTAGCGTACTTTTAACAAAAGTAAACTAAAAATCAGTTATCGATACGAGTGTGCCCCCAACACTGACCCAAGCCGAAGGGATCGCTGGAACCGCTCGGTTAGTGTGAACTAAATGAATCATTAATAATGCAAAGTTAACGCACTTGTGATCCGGTCGCGTCCCTACACTTCGATGTCGATAGTTAATCGCCTCGCATTAGTGATGTGTTTACGCCCCGAACATGGATCGGGTTACGTCTCACTTGTAGTTTGGTTGGGGGTTTGTTTATCGATATGTGAATATCGTTAATATTCTATCTGTTACAGTTTTGAACTCTTTAAAATACAGTGTGTCTCAGAGGCTTTGACTGAATTAGTTGATGCGCTTCTTTTCAACACTTGACAATAATAACCACTAACCGCTGGTTAAGATTTTTAATGAGAAATATTAATAACTCTTGAGCAGCAATACTCTTCCATGATTGAGGATTCCAGGTGAAGCTCGCTTCCACCTTCGACCTGTTCCTCACTTACCATTAGGTGAGATACAGGCCAAGAGATTCCTCGTTGTGAATAAAAAAATACTCAAAAGGTTTCTTGATATTTTTGTTAATTTTTCCCAAAATAATTTTGGGTTGCAGTCGCTATAATTCAGTTGTTTTCACATGTGGTGCACTAACATAATATACATATTTTGTATGCACGCACAGAAAAGGTGTTTGGAATAAAGAACAGATTTTGCATAGTGCAATATCCTGCCTTACAAACAATTCGATTTCAAATATCGATGTTTCGCCCTTGTTAACCAACACTATAATAGTGTTTTGTAAACACTTAATTATTTAAACACGATGTGTGATGTTAGATCGATGGTGGGAGGGATTATTGGCACGGGAATTATTCAGTATGTGCCACTATTGGCGTCTTAGACTTAACGTTTGTTTATCTAATGATCTTAGCACAATAATAAACAGCACATAAAGTTAAACATTGTGTATTTTAAGACGTTGTAATAGGTGCTACTTTTCAAAAATTTGAGGTATTCTTTGTTTAAAAAAATGACGCCTATTGCTAGACAAAAGCCTTCCCTAAGGATTTCCATAACGGCGGGTCATGCACTGCCCGTATCCAGGTACTTACTTCCCGCGACCTTCACCAGATCGTCGGTCCACCTAGTGGGACCTAGCCTACCCACGCTACATCTTCCGACCCGTGGTCGCCTCTCGAGAACTTTTCTGCCCCCACGGCCATCATCTCTACGACCTGTGTGCCATTGGTATTGTGCAATTTTGGTATTACAAAATACTAAACGTGGGACAGACAAAACCACGAGCAAGAGTCAGTCACTGACTCAAGAACACACCCAAACCATTATTCAAACCTATCCATCCCACAATTTATTCCCATACGAAAAGCCTGTCAGTCCCCGGCGAGTATTCACGAACATTTCTAATAAATACCAACAATGAGAGGACATCGAATAGTGACCGGGGTTCCTTGACAGACGCCATTTGAAAAGGGCTCGGACATGACGTTTGGTCAGGGCTGCCGACCGAGATTTCCCTTTTAGGGGCCCGTGGAAAATGTTTAGCAACGGCTGAGGTTGACGTATCGAAATATTGTCATAGTTTTTGCTAAACCAATTGTCCATTGCTACACAAACATACGGCCTCTATAGTTATCGTAATTGTAAGTAGCTTTATGTCTTTGACATCACTTTTTTTTCACAAAGAAAAATCAAATAAAAATACATAACACAACAACAATGTTAACAGCATTGTTGTGTTCCGGCAGTTAGAGGTAAGATAGCCAGTTTCTCCGTGGTTGCGGATTCCGGGTGAAGCTCGCTTCCACCTTCGGCCTGATCATCACTTACCATCAAGTGAGATACGGGCCAAAAGCTTCCTTGTTGTGGATAAAAAAAATATCGATCGATAAAGATATACCTACCTACTTAATTAAATACATAATACTTTTCTATCAGAGGAAAAGAAAGCAAATCATAGAGCAAATGCTCTGTGCCAGTTGTTAAAAGTTTTTCCGAATCGGTGGTTCTTTTTTCGCATGGGAAAGGGTAATTGATGGTTTTTTAACGCGTCTGTGGCCAGTTTCAATTAAGTGAAATGCTTTTGGTTCGGATTCGGATCGGTTTTGGTTTGTTTAATGGCGTGTCAATTGGGACGGTTAAGTAATGAGCCGGTTGAGTTCGCGGGTTCGGATCCCGCAAGGCGCTTTGATGAATTAACGTTTTTACCAGATTGATATGTTTTACGTTATTTATTTGAGTTTATTGTTTTTTTTTTATACATAACAAGGCAGTTATTTGACCACAATCGCACCTGATGTTAAGTGGGATGCAGTCTAGGATGGTACATTCTGCCCTGTAAGTGCCTATTCACTCTTGCCTTGAAAATGCCTAAAAATTATAGTCTTCGGGAAAGACAGCAGCAGGCAGCGAAACTTAGCCGTTTCCCGTAGCAAAAACCTTTTCGCACCTCTTACTACGCACATTTTACTACGGGAGTCTAAAAATTTAAATGTTTAAATTTAAATTTAGTTTCTAATAAGGGATTGGTTGCAAAATTTTAATGGCTGTTTAAAGGAACCCCTTGCAAATATAAATTATGTAATTTTGTACCATTAGTTCCATTTGACAGCCCTGGCACGTCATCAGTAGATGACAATCATTCAAAGGCCGGACGCCTCCGCGGACCCGGCCAATATCCCCAGCGACTCTATCTACGGAACCCCTATCTAGGGGACCATCGATTGACCTAAATATTGTCCATTATTAGCAAGGTAGGGTAAAGAAAATCAGTGTTATGTCACCGGCTTGATGCCTTTTCAAACGTCTCTACAGTGTTTTGTTTTCGTGTGTAAAGAAAGGAATACATATCGCTCACCTAGCAGTATAATGGCACATTTACAAAAAAAGCGAAATTGAGTTTTTACGGCCTAAGTGTTTAACACTAGAAAGGCCGCCGTCCCATTTTTGTCCCACTCGCGAGTTTGATCGTCTCTAACTTTTCTATTTTTTAACGNCCAAACTGTACAATGTTGCCATACTTTATGAAAACCGGTTTTTGTAGAGCATGAAAATAATGCCACGGTTATTTACTAGACTTATGAATAGGACTTATGAATTCTACCATAAAAATACATTTTTAAATACTTTAAATGATGATTTAGCATCCAAAAAGTCAGAGAAAGTCAAAGAAACCAAAAGCATTATTGAGAATTTCATGAGGAACGTAAAGGAAAAATACACAAGGTATATTAAAGTAAATGAACCGGTACCTTATAAGTCGTAGTTTATTTCCTAAGTACTTTAAAAATTCAACTGAGTTTAAATATCTTATAAATATTTAAAATACCGCATCTTGTTTTGCTAGATGTCATACATATGTCCCATGTCAAAGTTATTTATGGTTATGGTCACCTTCCTTGAAATAGGGTGAATGTAGTTTCATTGTAGACATTGAGCTATGAGCTCAACAACATGAAAGGCGTGGTACTGTGGACGCAGCTTTATTCACAGTGACAACTTCCGGAAGTAGTATACGTCATTGCCAACAGATTCATATTTCCATCGCATTTACATTGCTGAGAAAAATCGTCGGTTTTAGCGGCGTAACATATTGCAAATAAGTGCGAAATATTGTGATAAACTTCTCCTAGTATTAGTTAATCTAGTTCAATTTTAATAAGTGAGTAATTTTACTGCGAACAAATAGAATTTGTGGATCAAAGTTGCATGTACTCGAATGACGTTCTGTCATTCATGTTACTCAACTCGATATCACATTCTTACTACGTTTTTGGTGTAATCTTGCAAGATCGTAATATATTTACATTGTCTTATAACTCGGGTGTCTGGTGTTCGTTGCCAGACAAATCGGAGTAGATAACAAAGACTTTTGCAAGTCATTATTTAGCAACTATTTCTTTGTGAAGATGAGCTGATTATTTATTACACATTCATCAATTTCAGATTCAATATGTTTATCTTGGATTGGTTCACTGGTGTCCTCGGCTTCCTTGGTGAGTATTCATCTATTGTGATGTGCCCAATTGATGAAGTTTAATTTGAAGATGAGTATGTCCAAACTAGGAACCAAAATTTGAATCTGACCTTTGGAGGCATGACTAATCCATATTTGGCTGTATAATTTTATACAATTACCCATGTGTATTATCATTACCAGTTTTATGTAGCACTAGCTGACCCGGCGAACTTCGTACCGCCTTAGCGTAGAGATTTTCTTAATATTTTTTTCCGTAAGAACCATCCTTGGACTTCCACAAACATTTAAAAAAAAGAATTATCGAAATCGGTTCAGCCGTTCACACGTGATGCCGTGACAACGCGAAACGGGTTTCATTTTTATATATATAGATTTGTCTGTCATCGTTACAATTTAATTCAACTTGGAAATTGTTGTTCAGATTTATCTCAAACATAATCTGATTAGAATAATGTCAAAATGCATTTATTGTTATCTTTGTGAAATTCATCAATACAATCTCTATTTGACCAGGTTTGTGGAAGAAATCAGGTAAACTATTGTTCCTGGGCCTAGACAATGCGGGCAAGACCACTCTGCTGCATATGTTGAAGGATGACAGATTAGCGCAGCACGTGCCAACATTGCATCCCAGTGAGTATAAATCTTATTTCGATATTATTCGTATACCAATATAACATCTACAAAAAATATGGGGACAAACAGGGTAACTGTTTGCATGGTGTTGGTTTTTCCCTGGCCTATTGATGATTGATGGTCTGTCTTTGAGCAGGGAATTTGAGAGTAAAATAAAAGTTTTAGTCTGAATTCTCAAAAATAATTTACAATGTTTTTCTTATTGATAAGTGATGAAAAAACGATGTTGGATCCTCTATTTTTGACATTTGAGCCCCCTAAAGTTATTCTGAGATCTGTTCGGGTTAAACATGTCAGTACCACCTTGACATGATTTTGAAGCATAACTTTTATCACTATGTTTATTTCAGTAGTCATAAATAAAACTGATGATAACCACTTTAGCACTCTGAAAGCAATCACACTGTTTTTATTATTATGGCATGTATTTTTATACTTTCCTCAGCTTTGTATATTTATATTTTATTTTTGTTTAAAAAAATATTGTATACTGTTAAACTAAATATAACCCAGCACCATTTTTCATGATTTGGAACAACATCCTTGTGTCATAATATTGCCCACTTATATGTGATAACACACATGCATATACATAATTTAACGCTTATATTACTGTAAATGATGGTGATTTTATCTACATCTGACAACACTTTATCTCACTGATACAGTGAGTTTTATTTATTGATGAAATTAACATACAACATATTAACTATTTTGTAAAATTGACGTTACCCATGTTGGAATATTATGGGCATTAAAGGCAAAAAACTCACTCTATTTGTGGATTCATCACTGCAGTTAAATTGCCTCACATGTTCTTGTCCTTTTACATGGTTTCTACCAGCTAGGTTTACCTACAATAAGTAAACAATAACTTGCATGCGGGCAAAACAGGACTGTTAATTGTGGAAATCCTTAGGGGAAGCGTTTGTCCAGCAGTGAACATCTCCTTACCAAATACGTCCATTTGACGGATTTGGTTCATTTATGGATTTGATTGATTTTTCTCAATAATAATACCAGTTTTGTATGCCGACCTTGAGTCAAACTTAGTGGCAACAACTGCCTAATTTCTAACACCTACATATTGCTACCTATTCACAAATAAACATTTTTGGTTTGTTTTGACTGTAACAAAGTAAACAATAGTACTTTGCATTGTCCACAGCATCGGAGGAGCTGTCTATAGGCAGTATGCGGTTCACGACGTTCGACCTGGGCGGGCATCAACAGGCCCGCCGCGTGTGGCGCGACTACTTCCCCGCCGTCGACGCCATTGTGTTCCTGGTCGATGCCTGCGACCGTCCGCGCCTGCACGAGTCCAAGGTACGTATTTATATTGTAAGAGTAGGCGCACACCGTTGATTTTTCGTCGGCCGATAGTTTATTCGGGCAGTTGATCAGTATGGGCATGTATGGGAGTTAATGTGTAACAATATTGTTATAATTTGTAACGATATTGAGTTTTTTGGCCAAACTACAATGATGAGTGTCATGTTAATCAGTTTTGTTGCGACAAACTGAATTTCACGAAATATAAAGAAATAATAATATTTCTGGGCAACATTTCACGCGACTGATCTCTTCAAGAATTGCCCACGCCCGATTCAACTGTTTCGTTGAATCAGTGTGCGCACTGAGAGCTCAACCCGACTAAACTATCGGCCGACGAAAAATCAACGGTGTGCGCCTACTCTAAGGGAGACTGAGCTCAAGACCAAATGCGATGGAGGACTGTTGTGGACGCTCTGCCCATCTAGGGGACATACAACCTTAAGTCAAAGTCGAGCTAACAAATTCGCGCTGTTGCGAGCTTGCTAGTAGTTAATAAGTTCCAAAAAATCGTTAATGTTACAACTCTCTCGCATGGGTGCATCATTGCCAAACCAGAAACCATTTTAATTTACAAACCAAAATATTAATCTTTGTTGAATTTTTGCCATTGTTTGTGTATGTGCTTTTTCCACGATTTTCTTACAACACAGAAACCCTTGGCCTATGTCACCTCAAAGCTTCACCTATATTCCTAAATCAAAGAGGAACTGACCTCTGGGTCTGAAGATATTTGCATTTTTGTGATGTCCCATAGTAATAAAACTGTTTTCTCGCAAGGCCGAGCTGGACTCGCTGCTGACGGACGAGACGCTCAGCAACTGCCCCGTGCTGATCCTCGGCAACAAGATCGACAAGCCCGGCGCCGCCAGCGAGGACGAGCTGCGGCAGTTCTTCAACCTCTACCAGCAGACCACTGGAAAGGTCAGCAAATATTAACTGTCATCGTTAGCCAGCCATATGACGGCCACTGCTAGACCTCCGGCCTAAAGGCCTCCCCCAAGGATAGAGCCACGATAACCGAGCGGTGAAGGGGTCCACTTGGTCGTGACTCGTAATCCGGGAAACGCGGATTCGGTCCCTGCCGCCGCTCGACTTTTGTGGTGAGCTCACTTGTGACACAAGCATATTTATTTAGCTTAGTACGAGGGGCTAACGCGACTATTAGTAATTTGTGCAATAACAATCCAATAAGATGCGACGTATAGGGTCGTGCCTCGTGTAAATATTTGTTGAGTCTCGTCTCGTTAGAACTTACCACTTTAGAACCTAGACTTATTTATTTTATTCTTCTTAGTTGGGCACCCTTGTCAGAGTGGTCGTGGTTGCGCTGACGAGGTACATTGTGGGGTGATGTCATCTCCGAGGGTAGCTCTCCTGGCGATGTGCTTCCATTTCTGACGGTTAGAGGCGTCGCGAGTACATTGGACCATGGTGGACTCAGTGGCCTTCGTTTTTCATTCATTTTCATTTTATAATGCCATATAAATTGGTACATAAGGCGAACGTAATGCCATACNGCGATATCAAACATACTCAATTACAGCTTGATTCGTAATGAAGAGAAAATACAAGGAACAGTAAATAAATTCTCGATATTTTTATAATTTATCTGAGGATATTCCGAACTACTTTTTAGCGGTGTTATAACACCTGGTAGGAGTAAGTGGGTTAAGATTGTTTCTTGATACGTCAAGTATTAATAGTAGACATTTTGATCAAAACACACGCTCTAATTCTGATTTCGCCTCAACGTCCAAGTACATGCGATACTTTATGCATAATAAGTGATGTGGGTGCTCCTCGACTGAAGGGCTCGAATCACGGGAAAGATTAAACATTCTCGCTCGCACTATTAATCAGATCGCCGATTGCACTAACTAAACAGGATAGTGAAGTGTAGATGTTAGATAAAACTTTAAAGTATCGATACTTTTCGATTCGCAGAGCTGCCGCTGGGGCAGAAAAGTTTCGAGTGGCGACCACGAGCCGGAAGAGGTAGTGTGGGCAAGCCTCCCACTAGGTGGGCCGACAATCTGGTGAAGGTCGCGGGAGGGCCTGGATGCGGGCGGCGCAGGACCGGTCTTTGTGGAAATCCTTGGGGGAGGCCTTTGTCCAGCAGTGGACGTTATTCGGCTGAAACATGGGAACTTTTCGATACAAAGATAGAATTACGTATGTTGGTTTAAAAAGTAACTAATTGGCCGACGAAACATAAATATTAAATACTTTGAATGGAATAAACATTGATAGTACCATAATATAAGAATGGGTAAGTACGAGTAAGTCTAATAAATACTGCATAGAATTCTTATATTTTATGAATATTTCATCAATGAGTTGTCAATTTCTGGCAGTCGTAAAGGGCGACAAAGGTACAAGTATACGAAAGACAACCCTTCAGCTAGCCCATTCGGCTAGCGTGAAGTCTACATTCTCCATTTTCCATTGTTAATTAATTAGTCTTGGCTGGACATTTAATAACCTCATGATGATGATTTCATCGCAATCCAGACTTAGCGTACTTATAATAAAAGTAAACTAAAAATCAGTTATCGATACAAGTGTGCCCCCAACACTGACACAAGCCGAAGGGATCGCTGGAACCGCTCGGTTAGTGTGAACTAAATGAATCATTAATAATGCAAAGTTAACGCACTTGTGATCCGGTCGCGTCCCTACACTTCGATGTCGATAGTTAATCGCCCCGCATTAGTGATGTGTTTACGCCCCGAACATGGATCGGGTTACGTCTCACTTGTAGTTTGGTTGGGGGTTTGTTTATCGATATGTTAATATCGTTAATATTCTGTCTGTTACAGTTTTGAACTCTTTAAAATACAGCGTGTCTCAGAGGCTTTGACTGAATTAGTTGCAGCGCTTCTTCTTAACATTCGACAATAACCACTAACCTCTGGTAACGCTAATAGATTTTTAAATGAGAAAATTAGAACACCTTAACAGAAATACTGAAACGGTTCATTGATTATTTTTGTTATTTTTTCCTAAAGTAACTTTGGGTCGCAGTCAATAAATAATTCAGTTTAAGTATTCATATGTGCAGGTGCTAGGAATAAAAAAACAGATTTAGAATAGTGCAATCTTTGTCTTAAAAACGATTTAGAATATCGATGTTTTTCAATTGTTTGGCAACACTATAATAGTGTTTTGTAAACACTTAATAATTTAAACACAATGTGTGATGTTAGATCGATGGTGGGAGGGATTATTGGCACGGGAATTATTCAGTATGTGCCACTATTGGCGTCTTACACTTAACGTTTGTTTATCTAATGATCTTAGCACAATAATAAACAGCACATAAAGTTAAACATTGTGTATTTTAAGACGTTGTAATAGGTTACTCTTCAACAAACATGCATAATTTGAGGTATTTTTTTGATTCAAAAAATGACACCCACTGCTAGACAAAAGCCTCCTCCAAGGATTTCCATAACGGCCGGTCCTGTGCTGCCCGCATCCAGGTACTTACTTCCCGCGACCTTCACCAGATCGTCGGTCCACCTAGTGGGACCTAACCTACCCACGCTACATCTTCCGACCCGTTGTCGCCTCTCGAGAACTTTTCTGCCCCAACGGCCATCATCTCTACGAGCTATAGGTATGTGCCATTGGTATTGTGCAATTTTGGTATTACAAAATACTAAACGTGGGACAGACAAAACCGCGAGCAAGAGTCAGTCACTGACTCAAGAACACACCCAAACCATTATTCAAACCTATCCATCCCACAATTTATTCCCATACGAAAAGCCTGTCAGTCCCCGGCGAGTATTCACGAACATTTCTAATAAATACCAACAATGAGAGGACATCGAATAGTGACCGGGGCTCCTTGACAGACGCCATTTGAAAAGGGCTCGGACATGACGTTTGGTCAGGGCTGCCGACCGAGATTTCCCTTTTAGGGGCCCGTGGAAAATGTTTAGCAACGGCTGAGGTTGACGTATCGAAATATTGTCATAGTTTTGCTAAACCAATTGTCCATTGCTACACAAACATACGGCCTCTATAGTTATCGTAATTGTAAGTAGCTTTATGTCTTTTTTTTCACAAAGAAAAATCAAATAAAAATACATAACACAACAACAATGTTAACAGCATTGTTGTGTTCCGGCAGTTAGAGGTAAGATAGCCAGTTTCTCCGGGTGAAGCTCGCTTCCACCTTCGGCCTGATCATCACTTACCATCAAGTGAGATACAGGCCAAAAGCTTCCTCGTTGTGGATAAAAAAATATCGATCGATAAAGGTATACCTACCTACCTACTTAATTAAATACATAATACTTTTCTATCAGAGGAAAAGACGGAAAACATAATAAATGTCAACCAAAAATAATTCCTAGATTCTTCCTAGTTAGTTTCAAAATTGCCAGATTGAACATTATGTATGAGGTGATGGAAAATATAAACTTCATCTCAGTACACATCATAGTCCCGTAGCAGTGGATATTGGGACAACGTGTAAAGACTTTTTAAGAGCCTGATAAGAATAAATTAATTTTAGGTATAAAGCAAATCATAGAGCAAATGCTCTGTGCCAGTTGTCAAAACCGAATTCACATACGGAACCAGTTTTTTCCGAATCGGTGGTTCTTTTTTCGCATGGGAAAGGGTAATTGATGGTTTTTTAACGCGTCTGTGGCCAGTTTCAATTAAGTGAAACGCTTTTGGTTCGGATTCGGATCGGTTTTGGTTTGTTTAATGGCGTGTCAATTGGGACGGTTAAGTAATGAGCCGGTTGAGTTCGTGGGTTCGGATCCCGCAAGGCGCTTTGATGAATTAACGTTTTTACCAGATTGATATGTTTTACGTTATTATTTGAGTTTATTGTTTTTTTTTTATACATAACAAGGCAGTTATTTGACCACAATCGCACCTGATGTTAAGTGGGATGCAGTCTAGGATGGTACATTCTGCCCTGTAAGTGCCTATTCACTCTTGCCTTGAAAATGCCCGGATTATAGTATTCGGGAAAGACAGCAGCAAGCAGCGAAACTTAGCCGTTTCCCGTAGCAAAAACCTTTTCGCACCTCTTACTACGCACATTTTACTACGGGAGTCTAAAAATTTAAATGTTTAATAAGAAATTAGTTGTAAAATTTTAATGGCTGTTTAAAGGAACCCCTTGCAAATATAAATTATGTAATTTTGTACCATTAGTTCCATTTGACAGCCCTGACACGTCATCAGTAGATGACAATCATTCAAAGGCCGGACGCCTCCGCGGACCCGGCCAATATCCCCAGCGACTCTATCTACGGAACCCCTATCTAGGGGACCATCGATTGACCTAAATATTGGCCATTATTAGCAAGGTAGGGTAAAGAAAATCTGTGTTATGTCACCAGCTTGATGTGTTTTCAAACGTGTCTACAGTGTTTTGTTTTCGTCTGTAAAGAAAGGAATACATATATCCTTTTCTATGATTTGGAGCCGCCATATTTGATAACTTCAAGCTGTGTTTTGTTTGGTTTAATGTGTACGAGTACTTAGTTAGGTCTTAATAGGTAGAAAGAATAAGTAGAATCCAGTCCCTGGGCTGTTCGCATTATAAAACATTGTATTTTACCAAAATCATTCTAGTACTTTTTGCGTGAAGGAGTAAAAAACATGCATCCATTTTCACCTGAAGATAATTTTTGGACCTTTTCTGAAAGTGCTACTACAGCTACTAGAATAAGGCATTAAATAATAGCTTTCTAAATATATAAATAGAATTATCTCACATCCATTCAAGCACAATATGAAAATGTATCACGGAGCGGAATCAGAAACATTTTGCATGTAACAAATCACATACATTTCATCTCTTCCATTATCAAATATCACATAAAACCAGGACATTACTATTACAATAACAAATATCAACATTAACTATTGTCACTGTGACATAGTAATTC